CAGAGGTTGCTAGGTGGGGCAGCCTGTGAGGGCCCAACCTTGCTGGGAACCAGGATAGCATCTGAGGAAAGGCGTCAGCCGCTGCCCTGGGACTTGCCTTCTCCCGGTTCTGCCTCTAACACTCTCTGCAGAGTAAGATCCCGGTTCTAGGCCAATGCACTCACTTTTCAGTTGGGAAAACTGAGACCCAAAGAGAGGGGTGGCAGGCCCTTCTAGTGAGCCACACAGTTCTAGAGTCTGGGTCTCTCCCAATCTTCCATGGCAGGCGCTTCTCCCACCAGCATTAACTACTTTAGTTATTGCTTTCGCCCTCCCTTACCCCCCTCCCCCACCACACACACACACACACACACACACACACACACACACACACCGTCTCAGCAGAGCAGCTGCTTGGGCCATGGCTAAGGGAGGGAGGAGGAACCCCCGCATGGGCAGAGGCTCAGGCCACTGGCAGAACCTTGGGGAGCTGCAGCTGCACAACAAGAAGGTGGGGTTCTGTCCTCCCTCCTGGGGGGCCAGGAGGTGGGGGAAGTGAAGGGAAGGTCAGATCCAGAAAAGCTGCCTCCCAGGCGGGGCCTGCTTGCTCTGCTCTCTGAAGGGAGGTGGCAGGATGTCAGCCACCGAGGGACCTTGGGGTCCAGCCCCCAGAGCCTGGGTACAGTGACTTCATCAGACATTTCCAGCTTTTATGATCTGCCAACAAGGCCCTGGAGTGACGCAGGCTGACCTCCCCTGGCAGCCCATTTTCCCGGGCACGGTGATCTCAGCCCCGTTGGAATGCCACCGCCATCCGCAAGCCCCTTCCCAGGCCGCCCCTTCCCAGCCCACAGGCCGCAGGCCACAGGAGCAGGCCGGGGCACTGAGCAGGGGCCAGAGAGAGTGGTGTGGCTAGAAACGGACAGGAAGTCCACAGGTGAGCTGGGGATGTCACCTGGGAGGCTGGGAGGCTGGACATGGGAGCAGGGAGTCAGAGGGCGCTCAGCCCTGGAGAGGACAAGAGAACGGGCTTGAAGGTCAAAGGAGCCATGACCAGCTGCTCGGCAGGCCCCCCAGCCTTGGGATGCCCATGGGCACCTTCCAGCTGCTGCTCCCTCTTTGTCACTTTCCTAGGTTTAGGGGTCTCACACCACCACTGTCACACACACACACACACACACACACACACACACACACACTAGACTTACACATCCAGGTGACAAACCACTAGTATTGCGTTCAATCCTGGATTGGATGGAATGACCTTGGACAAGTTGCTTCCCCTCTCTGAGCCTTGGTTTCTTTGGGGGGGAAATGGGAATAGCATTAGCAGTGTCTTCCTCATAGGGCTATGGTGAGCCAATAAATAAGGTCATGCATCATGCCTGGCACATAGGAAGTGTTCGGAAAAGAGTGGTTATTATTGTTACCTTTGTCTCCTAAGCCAGTAAGCAGAGATTCCTGGCAGAAGCAGCAATTGGTCCCCAAGTGTGGCTGTTAGGAAAGGGCACCAACATGTGTGTGACCATTGGTCTAGCCCAGTGTTCGGCAAACTGCAGCTCTCAAGCCACATGTGGATCTTTGGCTCCTTGAATGTGGCTCTTCCACAAAATACCACACGCGGGTGCGCATGTACAGTGTGATTGAAACTTCGTGGCCCATGCGCAGAAGTCGGTTTTCGGCTCTCAAAAGAAATTTCAATCGTACTGTTGATATTTGGCTCTGTTGACTAATGAGTTTGCAGACCACTGGTCTGGCCCATTAAACTTGAGGTTTCAAGGAACTATTCTCCCTGTTCTAACAAATGACACTCCTGAGGCTGAGAGAGCATACACAGCTACTCGGAGTGGCACAGCCAGCAGATGACAGGAGGAAGGTTTAAATGCAGTACTTCACTGCCCAAAGAAAGCCCTGTAGTTCACCGACCTCTGTGTTTCCAGATTTTTGGACTCAATTATGCATATTTGCATTAGTTAGATGAATAGGGCATAGCACCCTATGTGACCCTGACCCAGGTATTGTCCACTTTCAAAAGAGGAAGAGATGGTTGGGAAGAGCAACAGACACAAAACTATTCAAGTAAGTATGTAGAATCTACAGCTATCAGCTGCAGATAAATATATTTTACAAAAGACACACAATTCATTTTCTGCCTAGAAGTAGTAGTGAGGCTATAGAGTGAGCTGCTATGACAGGGTCCACCATTACGATGCTACACATTTATCCTTCTCCCAGGAAAGTTGAAGGTGAGTGGCTCAGGGACCCAAGGGCTGCCCCTCCTGGCCTCTGCCGTCTGGCCTCTGCCAGTCTCAGGCGGGGGTTCCCCAATTCAATTGACGAGAATTTAGTGGCATGGGCACTCAGAGCCAGCTATAAGAAGAGTGGGAACAAGGTCTCAAGTTTGGGGACCATTTGACAAAACTCTATTGTAGGGAAGGAAGGGAGGAAAAATTTTGAGGTGTATAACGTGGGGTTTTCTTAGCTCTAAAAGTGGGAGGTGGAAATAGAGTAGTTTCTTTTTTTCTTTGATCATTTAATGCCTTTTTCCCAATGAAATCGCATATGCAGACAAAAGCAGGGTATCTTGGTGAAGTGAGGCAGGGGGCCCGGGACCCAACCGGCCTGGCCTTTCCCTTCCTGACCCTTTCCCTAAGGTGGTTCCCTGAGGCACCTCTCAGGAACCCCCAGGCCTGGAACAGTTTGTAGCACGTGGTCTGGGGTGGGGGGTGCCGGTGGGGGTGGGGGAGAGGTGCATATCTGAGGCCTTTCCCAAATCTGCCTTTTCCCGATGATGCTGTGGCCCTGAGGTCAGGTCGTATTAGACTCTCAGCAAGGGATGCATGATCTCCCAAAACAGAGGCTCATCTCTGTGGGTGAGGTGGGAAGCGCAGGAAAGCCTTGGGGGAAAGGCAAAAAAATCCCAGCGGTTGGTGGAGGAGTACAGTGAACACAGAAATAAAAAAGGTAACATTCAAAAACACTCTTTGGAAAGGCAGAATTTTAAGAGTCGGTCACACTTACTTCATATTTAACTTGATCGCTGCCAGCTGTGCAACCCTGTGCACGTGACCTCTCTGACCCTCAGTCTTCCCATCTATTAAATGTAACCACCTGGAAAGTTTCGGTGAATATTCACAGAGATAAGCATTTAATACAGGGTCTGGTATACAAAGGGCCCAGTAAATGTTTTGTTGTTATTATTCACTAAAGGTGGGGATCTTTAAACAATCATTTTTGCAGAGGTTTCTGCAAACCATTCTGAAACGCGCAGAGATTTCAACTTTAAATCAGAGAATGGAAAGGGCATGGGCTTAGCTTTTAGTTATGTGGTCCCATATCTCTCTCTGCTATTGCCTCATTTCTGGGTTTCCTTTACCAAAAAAGCAAACAAACTCCTCAATCCCATTTATATGAAATATCCAGGGTAAATAAATCCACAGAGACAGGACTGATGGCCAGGGTGCTGGGGGGAGTGTGACATAAGGAGAAACTGCTTAATGGGCATGGGGTTTTATTCTGGAGTGATGGAAATGTTTTGGAACTATCTGGAGGTGGTGTTGGCACAATACTGTGAATGTACTCAGTGCCACTGAACTACTCACTCTAAAATAGTTCATTTTGTCCTGGCCGGTGTGGCTCAGTTGATTGAGCGTTGTCCCATGCACTGAGGAGTCGCTGGTTCGATTCCTACTCAGGGCACATACCCAGGTTGCAGACTCAATTCCCAGAGTGGGGCGTGCAGGAGGCAGCCCTTGATGTTTCTCTCTCCTTCTCCTTCCCTTTCCTCTCTCACTAAAATCAATAAAAACATACTTAAAAATAAAATAGTTAATTTTATATTATGTGAATTTCACCTCAATAAGTTATCAAAAGTTTAAAAATTGTGTAAATATAATTCAGAACCATTGAGGACTTTAGTTGGATTGCTCTGCATGAATTTGCAAATATGTTTCATGGATGTGTGACCAGGTTTAGATACAAGTAAGGACATTTCCTTTTTTGTTTTAAAATAATTAAATGAAAAATGATTGCCTATAGTCACAGGAAACTTAGCACGTTCCTCCAGATACCTTTCTCTGCACCCAGAATTGCCCAGGGCTCCCTTGTTCCAAGGACTCAGCCGGGATGCAAATACCAGGCAGAGAGAAGAGCCACGTGTGCTCCACTGAGGTTTCTGGCTACTTCCGGGCCGCCCAGGGTGGGGCACAGCCCCGCAGATGCTTGGCCAGTGTTGTAACAACAGTATCCAAGCTAATAGTGTTACTAACAGTAAGCAGCTCTGTTAGGACCACAGAACCCACACCCAGGGCTCTGTGCCAACGCTGCCCTCCTGCTGCTCACTCCCTGCTCACCCACTGCTTCCACAGCACCGTCTCGGCCAGAGGAGCTGGTCAGGACAGCCTTCAGGCCCCAACTTTCCCCACAGCCACTGGGCCCAGGTGATGGGCCGATGAGCAATCTCCTCTGTCCTCCTGCCTGATAACTGTGACTCCCTTGTAAATTTACCTCCTCGCCAGCCACCAACTAGCATGTTAAGACATATTAGAATAGCTGCACTGATCCGGCCGCAAAAGATCTTACTGTACACTTTCTCCCAAGATAATTGATGCCTTTGCAACTTTAGATTTTCGTGTATAAAGAATGGCCCCTACAAAATACCTCTCTGCTTCAACTTAGACCAGGAAGCAACTGGCTCTGTCATCTCATCATCATCATCAATAGCTAATATCTGTTACATGCCATGTGCCATGCTCTCTGCTCTCTTACTATAACCTGTGAGCTAAGGACTATTATTAACTCCATACTACAGATGAGGAAATGAGGCTTTGTCATTCACCCAGCCAGGCAGATAACATACAAAAAAAAAATGTATGTAGTCTACGCTTTGAAAGCAGTGTTTATTAAAATACATCTCATTTTCAAAATGTAATAGAATCTACAGCTATCAGCTGTTAACATGCGTATACATTTTGGGGGACACATATCTCCTTTGGGGAAAATAATTAGTGAAATTGTGTACCTTACTTGTTTAGTCTTGCTACCCATATTAATTCTTGAATATGTCCAAATTCTCCACAAGAATAGCACTTCTGCTCATCTGCATGGTCACAGTCACGAGTCAGATGGCCTGGTTTGCCACAGTTGTAGCAGCATTGCTCTCGCTCTCTCTTGGGCTCCTTGCAGTCCTTGGCAATGTGGCCACCTCTACCGCAGTTATAGCAGGCTTCAGTCTCCTGAAGATCACAATCCTTGGCAAGGTGACCAGACTCACCACAGCGATAACAGATGTCTGGGAGAGATGAGGAAACAAACTGGAAACCTCCATCCGAGGTAAAACCACCTCTGCCACGGCTCCTCATTCCACGACCACGGCCTCCACCAGTAGGGCATTCGCGTGCCCAGTGGCCAGATCGTCCACACTTGAAGCACTCATTGCTGCTCATGGCTGCAGTTTAGATCTTCCCGCATCAGGGCAGGCCCGCGGCGCCGGAGGACGAGAGACAGGCCAAGGTGAGCGGCTCACCAGGCAGCGGCTGTTTATTTTCAGGAGGGTCCTTGCCTGGGCCACACGCTGGTCTGCACACCCCATATTAATTCTTTCTATCACTCTCCAGTAAGCACATTTAGAAAATACTAGAGTAACCAAATGGTCACGCGTTGGTGAGAATGGTATCGGACTAACAGGTGGAGACTTGAGCTGTAGTCCCAGCCGAGCCATTCTTTTGATGTGTAAATTCAGAAGAAATCGTATCACCTCTCTGAGCCTCAGCTTCCTCAGCTGTGAAGTGACAGGTGGACTGAATACTGTCGAAAAGTCTGCACTTCTGTGTACCAGCCACACCATAAATCTTTAATCCACCAGGCATGGCAGCGTGTATGCACACCCATGCAGAAAACACTTCAGGAGCAACCGCTCGGCCACAACCATCCCTGTATTCATTCCTTCCAGACGGCTTGCAGGGAGGGGACCTCTCAGGAAAGATTAGCGGCTTGAAGCAAATGACGGTGAAATCCCTGGGAGAGCCAGATGCTCTGCACTCCGGGCTGGTTATTGGATCACTTCTGATTCATGTCTCCTGGCTGGTCTTCGCTGGCTTGTTCATAGTGCGTCCTCTCTCTCCCTCACTTCCTGCTACTGTCCGTTCTAGTTCCTTTCAGGAATGGCGGAGAACCAAATGTCACTCTTCTAAGGGGAGAGAAGGTTCTGCCTGGGGAGTCGCAGGCCCCTCACGCTCTCCTTGCTTCTGTCCAGGCACATGGGTTGTAGAAGGCAGAGCTGATTGTAACAACTGCCATTTTTATCATCTCTTGGGCAGCCAAATATTTAAATATGGCATGGGACTTTAATGCTTAAGTGGGTGATTCCTGCTTTGATTGCCTGTCCTGTGCATGGGTGCTAGTCCATTTCTCATGATGTGATTCTTCCACTGTGCTCTCCCCCCCCCCCACACACACACATTTCAGAGTTTCAAAAATCTTGTAAAACCCAATATTGATGACACAGACACTTTTCAATGCCCCTGATGGGAGTACAAGTAGATATCACCTCTATGGAAGGCAACTGGACAAATGAATCAAACAATTTAAAGAGCACATACCTTTGGATGAGCCAGTGTTTTCTATGAGGAAGCTGAGGGCCAAGCAATAATCACAAGAAAGACAACATTTAGATATGAGGCTGTTCACTGAAGCATCCATGTAATTGAAAAATGTTAGGCAAGAAGCCAGTTTCCAAGAACAGGGGATTGCAAAATTAATTAGGGCACGTCCATTACAAATCATGTGATAGAACATTTAGCGACATGAGAAAATGCTCATGATCCTGAATTAAGTGAAAAACTTGGGTTCCAAAACAGTACATGCAGGCTAAATCCATAAAATATATATATATACAATATATATATTAAAACATAACAAAGTAAGCATGCATGCCAAAATGTCAATAGTGGAATAATACACGATGCCTAGTTTCTGGTTCTATACGTTTTTAAAATGTTAACTTTATGAAGCAGGAGAAAATCTTTATATATACACCCATAACTTAAAAAACAAAACATATTCACTACATCTTTGTGTCCCAGAGGGTCACCAGGCAAGAGAAGGGCAGGCAGGGAGTACGTTTCCTCTCTCCTCTAGGAACAAGCCGTGGTTTCCTTCTGGCCACGCTCCCCTCTTACTTTCTGCTCCTCATTCTTCTCCTGGGAGGCCTGGGGAATCCTGCCTGATGGTGGTGGTGGTGGTGATGGTGGAGTGTGGGGGCTGAGTCATTCCATCAGACTGCCCAGGCTCAGGCCACCCCCCACCAGTAACCCATCCTGTCTGAGATGCTGAAAGAGCTGTCTGTGCACATCTTTCCCCCGTGCCCAGTGGCATCCTGTCAGTAACCTGGACCTGACCATGACAAGAGTATTTACACTACAGAAATGGCAAAAGCCACCATCAGGGCTTTCCCGGACACTCTAGGTGGGTCCTGCAATCAGTGTTTTAACAAGTCCTGCAGGTGATTCTGGCACACGCTAAAGTGTACATTGGGCAGGACATCCCTAGGCCCTAGGAAGGACTATGCAAACCCACAGGTGAGAAGGCCAGGCTCAGGGCTACCCCTCTCTAGATCTGGCTTTGCCAAACACAGAAATCCTAAACTTACCCCTGTCCACCAGAGAATAACATTATTACACAAACCACAAGGACCCCACCCCCTCCCATTCTCCACTTTTCCATGGGGAAGAAGATGTCAACAACCATTAGAGCCCTAGATCCTGAAAAGATTGTCTGCCTCGGCCTACTCCAACACACACGTCGAAATTAAAGTGGTACAGAAAGAAGTCTAGCAATGCTCAGATTTCGTTACACTAAGAGAAGTTTACTCATTCTCCACCTCTTCTTTTTCTTCGTGCTTTGCTGTTTTATTAAATAAATGCTTTGTCATCCTCTGCACAAAATTGCCACCAAGAAGTGGCATACGTTTTCATTCGAGGCCTCCCAAGCAAACTTTGGCAGCCCCAGCTCCCCAGACACAGCCTTTTGTATATTTCAAGTAGCGGTGAGGACAAAGGGTCCCTGTCAATGCTAGTCTCTTGCCGTAGGGAGCCATTGAGGGTCTGTGAGAACAAGACAGATAATTCTGGCCTTGATCTGACCTCCACAGGGCAGATGGGATGTTGGTACCAAGGCTCTAGATTTGATTGGTCACTGGATTCAACCAGTGCTCTGAATGGGCAGCCCCTGGCCAATCAGGACAGAGACATTTTTTTCCTCCTCCTCTCCAAAGTTTAGGCACTGCTGGGTCGTCTTGGGCCATGTGCTGCCCAAGAGAGCACATTGATTGTCTTGGGATCCCTAAGTCTCCGGGCATCACCTCCTAGCTGTTTGACCATCACCTCTCATTGCAAAGGCAGGCATCTCCTTACCCGCACTCACAGAAGAGAGCAGTGGCATAAATAATTACATATTATACAAATCAAGTTGCTTACATTTGGCTCCATTATGCACAGCATATTTCAGGAAGAGCAGCAAATTTGCTCTTCTAATTTGCTTTGGCTGCAATTAATATTAACACGAGGTGTCAGGGAGCAGGAACAGAGCCTGGCTTGAATGACTTGTCACAAGCAGAACACCGAGAGCAGCCAGCAACTGGAGTTGTGCCCTGTGACTGTGAATGACTGGCTTGGCAGACCCAGGACATGAAGCAGGCAGCCACCCCCAAACTGCCACCCAGACCCAACCCAAGACCACAGCATCACCCCCTCACGGCTGTTTCTCAGAGATCCCTGCTTTCCATCCACCTGATGGCAGAGAGGCCAGAGCTCACAAAGGCTCAGCGTGTTCTCAGATGGTGTGCATGGATGACCAGGCCACATGGGTGGGACTTGTGTGTTTCAGCCCACTGGTTCTGCTCACCATGACTCAAGGAAAAATTCAGCACAGGGTATGGGAGAGAGGCATTACTTTTGAGATAGTGTGCTACCACTTATGTTGAAAAAGAAAATTACCTCCACATCTCAGCACTTTAGTGTCAATAATGCTTGCAACGGGCATCCTTTCTGCTAGTGAAACACCAGAGTCACCGCACCAAGGCAAGGAAACTAGTTCCAAGAGGACGAGACCACCTGTGTCTTCATGGGCCCAGGACCCAGAGGACAGCAGCTGGGACTGGGCTAATGGCCATGAATTGGACAGATGGGCAAGAATAAGAAGACCCATGGGACTTACTAACTTGGAAGACCTGCCAAAGTCCCTTGTGTGGAGGAAAACGAACTGGCACGTGTATATAATAATATCTGCAGGCCGGCACTCTCTCCACTGAGCTAAACTGGCTAGAGCCATATTATTTCTTGATCATTTGCTCTAGGCTTAGCTCTGGGGACTATCATTGGGGTAGGGCCTGTTTGGACACATATGGAGTCTCCATTTTTCCTAATGTTCACAACAACCCTAGTCTTACACATGCCTGGTACAAGTGGCAGAAAACAGAGACCTGAGAGGTAAATGACTGCAAGGTCACAGTCAGTGAGGGGAGCACCATGATTTCACCCACAGTCTGATTCCCAGGCCTCTCTGTTTCTGCTCTTCCCCACTGTAACATTATTTTAAGTTCAATTGCAAAGTTTTTTTGGAGCCCATGCTAACGGCCGTGCTCTTGGCATACAACTTGTAAAGAAGATAACAAGCCATATGCACATCAGGATGGCTGCACAGTGCCCTGGTCACTTCACCAAGACCACCCCCACCAGTCCCACTGACCACACCTTCACTCTCCTCTGGTCCCCGAACTGCCAGGCCCCATCTCCATGGGCACCATCTTTCCTTCTTCTGCAGCAGAACTATGCATACCCTTGTCAGTCTTAATCCCTTCATCCTGCCCTCTCATTTTCATCACTCTTTGGACCCATTAAATTCATCACACTCTCTTTTTCAAAAATCAGATATTTGTAACCAGCTTCTCACTCCCACAGCCTTCTGCACAACCCCTACTGGGTATGTGCCCACAACCAAGGTACATGCCCTTGACCAAATCAAACCTGGGACCCTTGAGTCTGCAGGCCAGTGCTCTATCCACTGAGCCAAACCGGTTAGGGCTCTCTCCCTTCTTTACTCACTCTCTCCATCCTCCCTCCTCCACATTTCCCCTCCCACTTCTTCTTGCTCTTTCTTAGTTCATTGCATTCGTAACCTCCAAAAAGCATGCAGGTCAAAGTTGATAAAGTTAAGTGCTGTGCTCCTAATGCTCTACCTCCAGGGAAGGGCACGTCTGAAGCTTTGAAGTGCGATTAGACATGATTAGGAAGCCAGAGTCATCAGCGCTGGAGTCCTGGGCTCCTGAAGTTTCCCCTAGCCTAGCCTATCAGTGGCATTCTCTTCCACCTAAAATTAAGCCTGCTTATCCTGGGTCTCCTTTCTGGTATGTGCCAGAGCGCAGGGATGCACAACACACAGCCCACTT